TGATAGTATCTTAACAGGTCTTCCCAGACGATGACCCATCTGTGTCCTTGCCCCTCCATGACTAATGGGATCCACTGCCTAGCAAATACAGTAAAAAGTCCTGACTGGCATTTAAGGCTCTCCACCATCTGGCCCCAAAGTACCCTTCTTCTCATATTCTGTCTTTCAGCTAAATTAGATTCTTCTCCAATCCCCTTTCCTTATCATACTTTCCCTACCGACACCCATCCCCATGCCTGGCAGTCTCCCTGAAGCATGAAGACCTAACTTAGATATCACCTTCTCTTCATGATACAATATATCCCTGACTGTTCCTGGGCAAAAGCAATCATTTTCTCTTTACATTTCTCCTAACACTTGGCCTAGCTCTCTCCTTTTCACTTATCTCATTAGCTCCTCCATTACACTTATTTGTGTACTTGTCTTCTCCCTATTTGATGGCAGAAGTAGGACTAGTGTCACACCTATGTTCCTATCTCCAGAGCCCAGCACTAGGCCCTCCACACAGCAAGCACTTAAATGTCTGTTGAGTTTGTTGCATGTGTCACAGGCTTTTCAACTTGGTAGTTACTAAACTGAAGCCAGATATTCCATAAATAAAATAGTATAAAACTATTCCAGAATGGTTTTTCACATAATATAGGTACTCAAATATAATTTTTCAGTCTTTGTGTAACATAACCATCTTGTCCTATCACTAATTAATATAATGTGCTTCTTGTAAGATTAGACTTTGATTCTGTCATTTCATGTCTGAGTCACAGGCTCCTGTATATGATGAAGATAGTACTATACTACTAACCTCACAGGATTATTATGAGAATCCAACGTACATAAAGCTGTTTATAAATTAAAAAACTGTGGTACTGGAGAAAACATTTGAGAGTCCCTTGGAGAGCAAGAAGTTCAAATCAGTCGACATTTAAAGAAATTAATTCAGGTTATTCACTGGAAGGTCAAATACTGAAGCTAAGGTTTAAATACTTGGCCACATAATGAGAAGATGGGACTCACTGGAAAAGACTGAAGGCAAAAGGAAATGGGGATAGCAGAGGATGATGAGATAGATAGATAGTATCATGGATACAACAAATATGAACTTGGGCAGATTTAAGAGATAGTAGAGGATAGAAGGGCCTGTTGCGCTATGGTCCATGGGATCACAAAGAGTCAGACATGACTGAACAACAAAAACCACAGAGTCACCTACTGGTCAGCTTCTATCATTTATAAAATCTGCAGTTAGAAAGGCCCTCCTAGAGCTCCTCACTCATCTATATGACACTACCACTAATCAAACAGTTGAAGCCTTCAAAACCTAATTGTGACCAAAGAAGAATGGCTGTAACATGAGAAATGGTGAAAGTGATGATTTCAAGGAATCCTGGGAAAACATGTATGAATTGATACAGAGTGCAGTAAGCAGAGTTGGGAGAACCATTTATACAATGACCAGAACACAGTAAACACAAACAACCCCCAAAGACTTCAGAACTCTAATCAACACAATGCTCAACCAGGATTCCAGATCACCCATAATGAAACCTGCTACTCACCTCCTGACAGAGAAGTCATATGCTCATGGTCAAAACAAGACAGGCACATTTTTCAACACTGTCAATGAGAGGATTTGTTTCACTCAACTATGCAATACAAGGGTTGGGCCTTATTTTTTCAATGATGGGAGAAAAGTTTTTTGTTCATTAAAAAACTTTTTTTTAATACCTGAACTCTAGGCTTGTCAGGAACGTATCATCACTAATGATTCTAACACTGAAATAAGATACTATCAATCAATCAGCAAGTGTTTATGAAGCTCCTTCAGTGAGCCAGGCCCTGTGCTAGGCACCTGTAGCCCTACAAAGAATAATCCCTACTCGCATGGTGCTTACACTCTGATAATAAAAAGTAGATATGTACGATGCACTTTTCAATTCAAAGTTCAAAGAACTTAGCAAAGATAACCTTCTTGTGTCCCCTGCTCAAGGCCAATGATCACAGCAACTGCAGAAGTCAAGAAAGCCTGCCTATTCAAGTGTCTCCTGGCAGAACCCTCCCAAAAGGGCATGGCACGATGGACAGACTGCTGGATTCGGAGGGGACAAGGTCGAATTCCACCTCGGACACTTGCTAACAGTGTGACCAAGGGCAAGGCACTTCACTACTCACAGCCTCCATCTGATGCGCAGTCCAGTTCTACATTTACAGTCTTGGAAAACCAAGGAGAGAATGTCAGCTTTGGCGGCATTAAGACAGGCTCTGTGTCCAGAACAAACAAGGTGCTATTTTCAGCTCTGGTCAAACTACATAAGAAGTACTGTGTCCAGTTCTGAGTTCCAGGTGGCTGTTGACAAGCTGGGGCAAATGAAGGCCCAAACTTGCAAACAGGAAGATCTGAGTTCCAATTCTGCCTCTGAAACTTATTAGCTGTGTGACCACAGGCAAATCATTTCACTTCTTGACTGTTTCACTGTTTCCTCTTCTGAAGGATTTGGATGAATTGGATAAGACTGCTAAATTGCTTCAAGTTCCAAATGGGCTTAGTATGGTAGCTGGAACTCACTAAGGGCTTAACCAATACTCTCTCTAAATCAGAGAATCTTAACCACTTGGAGTCATGAACTCTTTTGAAAGTTGAGCAAAACCTATGGACCCCTTCTCAAATTTTCTCAAATTCTCAAAATTATTTTTTTTTTAATTTATAACTAACTAATTGTTGTTATTCAGTTGTTCAGTCACGTACAACTCTTCACGATCCCATTTGGGATTTTCTTGGCAAAGATACTGGAGTTGTTTGCTATTTCCTTCTCCAACTCATTTTACAGATGAGGAAACTGAGGCAAACAGGATTAAGTGACTTGCCCAGAATCACACAGCTAGTAAGTGTCTGGGGCCATATTTGAACTTAGGTCTTCCTGACTCCAGGCCAAGCGCTCTATCCACTGTGCCACCCAGCTACCCATAATTTATAATTAAAGGAAATGCTAAATTTTCAACTAGCGGTTAGTGAAAACAAAGAAATCATTTTTTTTTTCCCATCCAAGTTCACCATCCCCCTGAAAACTATCCATGGATCCTTGGAGGAATCCAGGTTAAGAAACCCAATCTACACTGATGCTCTTATGATCTACCACCTCTCATGGTAATTAGTGGATTTGTACTGGAAATCTGGAAGGCAAGTGGAGGAGACAGATGGACCGGGGAAACAGCAAAAGGGGCCTCAGGGTCAGTGATCACAGCCCTGGAATTCCCTCCCTCTCCCTCATCCAGTTGCTGGGGACAATACCTGGGAAATGTACTATAGAAAGGTAGGGGGTGGAGAGAAGTAAGTAGGAGAGACGTGTTGGAGTGACTATCTCTACATACTATATCTACACTTTATACATACACACAGTTACAGATATATATAATACTCTCAAACATATACTCATACATATACACACTCACATGCTCACATATATATATATATGCCCACACTCATACATAAGTATATGTGCATGCATATGTGTATGTACATGAGTATAGAAGTATGCCTGCATACCTCTATTCACACTCAAATATTCTCACTCACTGTTCTATACACCTACACCAAATATATACTCAAACACATTCAGTCTCATACATATAACTCTCTCACGAATACATACATACACACACTCAAAACACATACACCCAGACACACATTCAAACATATACACACACATATGTACATATGTACACTCATACATCCACATACTTTCATGGCAGCTAGGGGGCTCAGCGGGCCCACTGGGCTTAGCGTCAGGAAGACCTAAATTAAAATCCTACCTCAGATACTTAATAGCTGTGTGGCCCTGGGCAAGTCACTTAATATCTGAATGCCTCAGTTTCCTTATCTATAAAATGAGGATGATAATAGCTCCCACCTATATAAGGATGAAAAATTTGTAAAGTGCTTAGTACAGTGCCTCGCACATAGTATGTACTTAATAAATGCTTGTTTCCTTCCTATATGCATACGTATACTCATAATACACCTAATATACTCATTCATGTCCACTCATACATATACTCACATATGCATACACACATACTTTTACAAACATGCACAACCCCCACTCATAATGCACAATACAAATACTTTCATATATATACACAAATGTACATTCATACATAAACTTACTTATACACATACACTCTCAATCACATACACTTCTACACCACCATCAAGCACATGCACATTCCTGCTCATACACACACATATTTGTACACATATATATACAAATACACACTCAAATATATACATTCATACATACCCACGCACACACACATGCAAACAAACACACATATACATACTTATCTACACATACTTGTGCACACACTGGTACACAAACCTGCTCACACACATAAACACACCCTCATACACATACACTGTCAAACACATACACACAAGCACACACATACCCCCAAATACTCTTGCATATACTCACATATATAACATATGGACACTCATACATATACAACCTCAACACACACTTACACACACATACTAGTGCACACACCTACTCACATATATAAACACACCCTCACACACATACACCCTCAAACATTCCTGCATATGCTCATATATATAACATATATGTACACTCATACATACACATCCTCGTGTATATATACCCTCAAACACAGGGTATGTACACACTCAATACACACTCATACATATACACACTCACACTCGCCTGCCAGGTCAGGGTCTCCCTCCGCCCCCGCCCCGCCCCCGGCCCCGGGTCGGAGGCGCGCATGCGCAGAGCGTCCCGCTTCCTCCTCCCCCTTCTCCCGGACGCCCGGTGTCCACACTACCGGGGGGCGGCCGGAGGGGTGAAGGGGGAGGGGGGAATCTCCTCAGCGCCCCCTCCCCCCTTCCCTTCCCCCTCCTCTCTTCCTCAGCGCGGCCCGCCAGGCCTCGGCGCCCAGCTGCCCTCAGGCCTCCTCCGCTGGCCGGGCCCGGATATGGGGCTCACCTGGCTCTGGGGCCCAGGGCCACCTCCTGGGCCGAGAATGCGGCCCCCCGTAGCCGGAGCCGCAGCGTAGACGCGCCTCCTCCCACGCCGCCGTCGCCGCGGCCTCGAGCCCACCTCAGTTCAAGCTCAGCGCCTTCCGGGGCCGTCGCCAGGCGGAGGCAGCCGAGATGCCGAGCACATCGATGCAGGCGGGCGGGCGGGGAGACGGAGTGCCGATGGCGCGGATCGACCCGCCGGGCCCTTCTCCTGTTCCCCCGCCCCTCCCGGCTCCCGGAGCCCGAAGTTAGACGGCGGAGCTGCTGGGTGCGGCTCGCGGGTGGGCTGGGTCTTTCGTAATAAAGGTCTGCTGGGGCTGGGTCTAGGTCCCTATCCAAAATGGACAGGCCTTGGGGGAGTGGTGTTGGGGTCATCTCTCGGAAACCGCACCCCCAGGGTTTGGGGGCAGCGGGGAGAAGCTCCCCCCCCCCCGTGACCCACCCTGGCCGGCGCCCCGCTGCTTGATTACGTGAGGGTGTTTGCAGAGGGGCCCCTGAGACCTCTCTCCCGAAGAAGCAGGTGTCCAAGCTTTATCGATTTGGGGGCGGGGGTCCCCTGGGATGTTGCGGGGTGGACAAGGGTGCCGTCGGCAGGATTCCCAGAGCTAGAAAGATGCTTGGAGATTTTATATGTGTGTGGATTTTTTTCTCTCTTTTACGCCAAAAGCAATTAAAGTAGACTGGGCATTTTCTGAAAATGATACTGCACTGGTTCTTTCCCACCCCTACCTTCATTATCACCCCCAGTCTTGCGTGGAAGTTCATTTTATCCCCCCCCCCCCCCCTTTTTTTTTAATGGTTCTGCGGAAAGCGAAGCCTTCGGGTTCTGGAACTAAGGGATCTCGAAGGTTGGATCTGGGTGGTCGGGCTGGTCCCGAATTGTCCCATACCTGAGCTACAATTACTTTCGGATATTCGAGGCAGTATCCAGCTTCCTTAGCCAACAAGTCCAGCAAAGTGAATGTTCCACGTCTGCCCCCTCCTCCACCTTCTCGCCTCCCCCCCCCATAAGTGGCATTTGTTATTAAGCGTCTTGTTTGACACTTATTTAAAGTACTTCCTGGAGTAGGAAGGAACCTTTGAAATGCTGTAAATCTGCAAACTTGTGCTTTAATTAAAAAAAAAAAACAACTTTAAAACTCACTTTGAGAAAGCAGAAAGCCCTGCACCACCTTACCTTCCCAGGCGGCGTGTGTGTGGGGGGGGGGGGGGGGAGGGGGAGGGGTGGGAAGAGAGTATGTATTGGAACTGCGAGGAAGCAGCATTATTAGAATTATGCAAAGTTGAGTGTTTGCAGAGCGATTTAAATGTTTAAGTTGTTCAAATAAGCTGTAGCTCCAGGGACTCTGTGGTGCAGACACTGCGGATCCTTCCTATTAGTACCAGCAGCCGCCACGCGCCAGCATCTCACAGGCTTTAATTTAGCCGAGTGAAGGATAAAGTTCTTTGTTTTTCATCCTCTTGTGAATAACCGAGCCTTTAGTTTGTTCCACCACTTACTTTTAAAAGAGTCCGTTCTGTTGCAAGTTCACGACCCTAAACTGAAGTTCGGACCGAAATTATTAACCAAAAATAAAAATAAAAAAGAGCGTGAAGAAGTTAGATTAGCTGACTGTTGTCCTGTCCCACCCAAGGCTTCCTAACCCTGCCAGTGACAACGGATACTGCTGGGGCGTCTTGACTATTTAAATGGCGGCCACATTTGGATAGTTCAGAGCTTCACATTTATTTAATTGGCTGCATTCTTGACCTTTCTCATAAGTAATCTGAAAATTGAATAAAAGAGGCCAAAGTTATAAGTCCGTTGTGCTCTAAGTGCTAAAATACATTAGGAATAAAAACGCTCCCCTGGCAGTTTGCGACCTAATTTTTAAACCCCACTTGTAACACAAACCTCAGTAAATTTTGGTGTGCAATGGGGTTATTAAATTTTAACATAAACAAATGTTTCATATAATTTATTAAGAAAAGTTATATCCATGGAAAGCTAGGACGAGCAGACAGACCCACTTCTAATCTAAATACAATGATAAAATACATTTCGAAAATGGAAAGTTGTTTTTGCTAGAGATCAGATTATAGAAATTATGTCATTTGTGGAATCTTGTTAAAACTATCCCCAAGATGGGATGTAATCAAACCCTTGGAGGCTCTAATATCCTGTTCAGAAATATAATGTATTTAATCTGCAAAAGGAAGGCAGAAAGTATTATCAAAAACAAGCAGCGACTCCCTCTTACCTCAGGTCACCCGAGGAGGCTTTTGATGTGAGGAATGTATCTAGAAGCGACAATGGTTTCTCTCCCCAATTCCTTTTCTTTTTCGCACGTTTGTGACATTGCTCTTGGAGGAACTTTTCTAGTTCTTATCTAGCTGAATTTTCAGGCGATATGGTGGTTCAATGCTTTAATATCTCTGTCCTGTCTTGTAGGAGGCTTCACATTGAACCAGCGGATTTGAGTCAGTATCAGGAACAATCATTTTTAATAATGAAACTCAGGGACCATTACGGATATACAGTCTCTATGAAAATTTACAAGACAGGTGTGCATGGAAGGACGTAGATGTGTGTGTGAATATACACCCATATAAAGATTTATTTCTAGAGAGGTGTCCTTGTGTGCCTATATTTATTTATATGTGTACACACATCATATTCAATATATAAATGAGTAGAATACCGTGGCCTTGGAATATAGATGCTCCTTTGGGGGAACTGTTTATATAAATATTAGAGGTGTAGTGTAAAGAACTTGCACACTTCCCCCTACCCCAAAGGAAACAATTTCCGAACTTATTCTTCCTGTAAAATGTTTTTCCCCAATTTCTGTAAACTCTAGGATAAATGAAAATGAGACACTAAACTCTTGGTACAGATTTAAACAACAGAGAGAGAGAGAGAGAGAGAGAGAGAGAGAGAGAGAGAGAGAGAGAGTCAGAGAGTCTCTTGATTGTTCAGAATTGGAAAGTCAAATAAAATGTAACCAAAATGCTAAAGAAGATGAAATAGTGCAGTTTTTTTTAAAATAGGGTTTTATTTGCTGCTGTTTTTGTTGTTATTTAAACGGAGAAATGATCTGTGGAGAATACTACACTGTCAGAGCTGAAAGGAACGTCAGAGATCATTTTGTCCGACTTCTTCATTTTGCAGATTAAGAAACTGAGGCCCAAGAGTTAGGAAATAACTGAGTTTTTAAATGTACCTTAGGTGTATTTCGTATATCAGGAGAAAAAAAGAAAGAAGAAAAACCGTTTTCTTTTAGCCAAAGTCCCTAAAGCAAACCAAGAAGCGACAACACTTGGAAGAATTCCTCTGCACAGAGCCAAGGAGAGGAGAGTGGAATGGGGAGAAGGACACTGCACCTGGGCTCAGATGCCCTCGTCAGTAAACATCTGTTCAAGAAATTGTACAAATCAGCCTTTCTCAAATACAACCCAATGCATTAGTAAAGGTCTGGAAAAACAAACAAACAAAACCAGCACTGGTGGCGGCTGACCCGCCCAAAACAGCAGCGGCGTCTAGGCTGGCCCATTCCGCCGCTTGTCTTCTTCTCTCCTTGGGTAGCTGGCGGGTCACCTGCAAAGCTTGGTAGCAGCTCACGCTCTCTGCCAGCGGGGTAAGGAAGACACGCTGAGGTAGAGCTAGCTCCTCCAGCTCTCTCTTTCTCCCCAAGCACCACTGTCAGTTCCACTTTGGCCCCTCCCCTGCAGATCCTGCCTGTCTCCCTTGTGTTTAACTAAGTCGGGATACTAGCGCAAAATCCACGCCTAATTAAATTAATTAGGGATTCTTGTCAATCCTGGATTAATGGCCGATAGCAACCCTGGCCACAAAGATCTGAAAACCTGGAGGACCAGTGATCCTTTTTTTTTTTCTCTCCGCACCCCCACCCCCTCATTTCCCCCTCCCTTTTCCCTCCTCCTCCTCTCCCTCTCTCTCTCTCTCTCTCTCTCTCTCTCTCTCTCACTCTCTCTCTCTCTCTTTCCCTCTCTCCTTGGTAGTGAGTGGCTCGCTTGATACAGGAGAAAGGACTTTATTCAGAATTGCAAGAGGAGATAATTTGCTCAGAACAAGGGGCCGGCTTTGCAAAGTATAAATAGTGCGACTTCACTATCAGATCCGAACTCTTAGCAGGAAGAATTGTCAAAGATCTTAACATTTAACAAGATCTCTCCAGTTGGGAAACATCAGCTTCCATTTGACTCCAGCCTGCCCTCAACCCTCCTCCTCTTCCCTTCCTCCTTCTCCTCCTCCTCCTCTTCCTCCTCCTCCTCCACCACCACTACTGCCACTACCACCTCCTCCCCCCTTCTTTCCCCTCCAAGCCCCCCGTCCCCATTGATGTGTTATTATTGGGGGGTTTGGAACAGTAAAAAGAAGAAGAAGAAAAAAGAGAAAGAGGAAGGCGATCGGAGAAAGGAGAGAGAGAGAGTGCGGCAACCGTGCCAGACCATGGAAGAACTTACAGCGTTTGTCTCCAAGTCTTTTGATCAGAAAGTGAAGGAGAAGAAGGAGGTGATCACGTACAGAGAGGTCCTGGAGAGCGGTCCCGTTCGGAGCAGCAAGGAGCCGGGAGGTGGCAGCGAATCGAGCCGGGAGGACGGCTGCAGCCCCGCAGTGAGAGCTGCGGGAGGAGGCGGCGGCGGCGGAGTAGGAGGAGGTGGAGGAGGAGGAGGGGAAGGAGGAGGAGGAGGAGGAGGAGGAGGAGGAGGAGGAGGAGGAGGGCGGTCTCCCGTTCGGGAACTGGACATGGGCGCCGCTGAGAGAACCAGAGACTCGGGCAGTCCCAAACTCACAGAGGGTAACGGCCAGACCCGAAACACCGCGCTTTCCCCCTCCCCCATCCCCCTCAACTCTGGATTCTTGGGTCCGGGAAGACTGGGGGTTGGGAATTGGGGTGGAAAGCCCAGGAAATGCGGCCACCCAGTTTTAAAAGTCAGCTGGGGGCGGAGGGGGGGGTGTAAGATGAGAGGAAGAGTGTCGTTTGATGGTGTGTGTGTGTGTGTGTGTGTGTGTGTGTGTGTGTGCATTTTGCGCTGCAGACATTGTGGTTCCATTTATTCCCCTAAAGTGCATTTTACTAGCTAGAGTATCTTGTGCCTAGTGTGAGCAGAAGCCCATACAGAGGGAGAAAAAGTTCTAAGTGCAGAAGGCATTCTTTTTAGGCTGCCAGCAGACTTTAGGTCGATCGCTTGTTACCCGCTTGAAGCTGAGACTCTTTGGACGTAGTCTGAGAGGAAGGCTTCCTTTTTTAAGCTCATGCACTTTCCTATTATAGAAAGATTTTATTTTCTCCCTCTCCACCTTTCCTTCTTCTCCCATCCCACTCTCCTCTCCACGAACTAGTCTAGCAGTCTAGGGACTGCTGCTGCTTTCTTAATTGCCCTAATGTCTATTTATCCATTGAGTAAAGAATTCAGTAGTATCTTTGCAGCCAGCGTTTATAGAAATACAGCCCAACTGGATCTCGCAAGGCTATACATTTTCAAACAGGCCAATGGGCTTTTGAATTCTTTGGCGATTGTGTTTTGCTTAAAATTACTTTTCTGGTTCACACTCCTTGATGACTCTGGTCTTGAAAAAATTGATCTTTGGACGCCAGGAGAGGGTTAGTTCAGAAAAAAAAAAAATCAAACGAACCACGGTTTTGTGTCTATGGTAGAACACCCCCAAGCTCAAAGGCTTTCAATAAAAAAAAAAAAAATTAATCCGGGACCTCACGTATACATTAGCTGGTGTACAGCCATATTTTTCCAATTAGGAAAATATGTGGCAAGCATGGAATCAGCTATTTAAGCAAACAATTACCTTGTTTATAACATGATCTGTTCCTGTTTAGAGACCACTAAGCAGGGAGCCTGGCCTGACACATATATTAAATTAAATATATTAATCGATTTACCATTTGGAAAATCTTTTATTTTTTTCTCTCTCTCCCTGCAGTCAAAAGTTTGAAATGCAGCCACGGCTGTCTGGGTGGCACGAAATAGGTAAAACAGTTGTGCTTCTTTGGAGGATTCGGGTGCATATATTTCCCCACTAATATTTTACTGAAACAATTTATGACTATGCCTTGTAAAAATTGGTCCAGGATGTTTGATACAAATTTTCTCTCTTTCAGAAAGGGCAGACGCCTTGTCAGGCTACCGATAAGTATTAGATGTCTATCCAATTAGTAATTTGGAGAACAATAACTAAAATGCATGGCAGTGCTAGTGCTGCGATGGATTTGCTTTTCTTAACCTGGTTGTCCAGATTCATTCAATTTCTGTCTCCACTTTTGGAGGATAATTTGGAGAAGTAAGAGTAATTATGAGAACCCGAATTCAAATGGCTAGGCTGGAGTTTGTATGTTCCAAGGGCCCTCTGCACTTGAGGTGTATTTGCCTGTTTGAGTTGGTTTTAAAACCTACATCCAGCCTTCAGGATCGTTTATGTCAGAGCTCAGGCCAAACAATCCTTTCTCTTGCCTGTCGGGACTCTGTGGAGGGAGCGTCTTCAACAGCAGATTATTAACAAATGTAGAGAGTGATTCTGGGTTGTGAAGAGCTAGACGAGAGCGGGCCATGCTCGATCCGGACTCGGACTTCTAGCTCACAAATGTAATTGACGAGCCCTGGAATAGGGAGCTGGGAGTTCCTGTTGAAGGGGACCCAGCTTTCTGACCTCAGAGGGAGCTGTAACTCCTTCACCCCCTGAAGCTAGAGAGGACAATCGCTCGGGTGATTCCATAACCCAAAATGTCCATTTGAAAAGAAAAAGGAAGAAAGAAATGGGACGTATCAGCTGGCGTGTGTCAATTCAAGGCAGGGGGGAAAATGCATGTTTTATTAGACAACAGAGCTGTTGAATTTACGAAAAGGCAGAGAACAACCAATAGAAATACGGGATGGTAAATATACCACTTAAACCTGTTGATATATATGTATACATACATACATATTATGTATTTTTATATATGCATATATATATTTACACAAAGCGTTGGTACATGGTGAGGTTTTTGTTTTTGTTTCTTAAGGAAAGGAGAGGGTGAAGTACAGATAACACTTTGCTTTTCCCCCAACCTGCCAAGAGCTTTGTTTTTCCCTTCGCCGAAGCTGGCAGTAGCCTGGGATGTGGTACCGCCACCAGGAAAGCAAACATGGCGTGGGCAAGCCCTTGCTACAGGGTCCGGAGCGAGGATGCTGGGCAGAGAAGACAGGAGTGATCAGGGAGCACCCGGGTGGGCCTGAGCCCTGAGGATAGGTGATGCTGGCCCACGTTGCCTGAATTGCTGCTGTCCCCCCAGCACCCAGGAACGCTGCTACCTACATTTTGACGTGTCAGCCTCTCACTCCCTCCTCTCCATCTCATCCTCCCTCCCCCACAAAACGCCTCACTCCCCGCTAGAATTGTTAGCAAATAAGATCAGCAAGTTTGCAGAAGCCAGAGACTGAGGGGGTGGCCAAAGAGGATCTTTTTTTCCACAGGTCAAACCCGAGCAAATAACTCCAGAGCCGAGAGCCCAAAGGATCTGATCTGTGAGGGCCAGCGCAAGGGTTCGCAGGCGTAGGCATTAATCAAGGGCCTAATTCCGCTCAACAATACCCATCTATCTCCTGATCTTGGTGGGAGACAGAGTAAGGAAGATAGAGAAGAGGAAGAGGAGAGGAGGGGAGAGAGGAAAGAGGAGAGAGGAGAGAGGAGAGAGGAGAGAGAGAGAGAGAGAGAGAGAGAGAGAGAGAGAGAGAGAGAGGAGAGAGAGAGAGAGAGAGAGAGAATGAGAGAATGAGAGACTCCCTGTTAGAGAACGTGGGGCGCCAGCCCTTGCCCTGAGAGCCTTTGCCACGGGACTCGGAATGGTTGTGTGTGGCAGTGTGTGGCAGAAATCTGAGAAATGCCACAGACCATGTTACTGATACATTTCAGGAATCACCTAGCCCTCCTCATCTAGCTGTCCTCCAAGGCCAGCCTGACCTTTGGGCATTTCTGGGAAGATAGTTATGCTTATTTTCCCCTTTGCACGACCCGAACGGTGGCAGTATTTGTAGGCAGGAATAGGAAGCAGGTGGCCCAACCTTGGCAATTGGGCAAACGTTGTTTTTGTTGTCGCCCTCTGTGTGTGTGTGTGTGTGTGTGTGTGTGCGCGCGTGTGTCCGCATCTGTGTTTGTCCTACACCCCCTTCCAGTCTCCCCCGAGCTGAAGGATCGTAAGGAGGATGCGAAAGTGATGGAGGACGAAGGACAAACCAAAATCAAGCAGAGGCGCAGTCGGACCAATTTCACCTTGGAGCAGCTGAACGAGCTGGAGAGACTCTTCGATGAGACTCACTACCCGGACGCCTTCATGCGGGAAGAGCTGAGCCAGAGGCTGGGGCTATCCGAGGCCCGAGTGCAGGTATTTGGGCCGCGAGGAACCGACTGGGCTGGTTGCGCTGGGCAAAGCCAAGCAGTGAGTGGGTGCACGCGCGCACGCGAGTGTGTCTGTATGTGTCTGTGTGAGCGAGCGCGTGTGCGTGAGTGTGCGCGCGCGCTCCGGCGGACAGAAATTGGACTGGGAGGGAGGAATAGGGTTGATTGCTGGGGGGGGGGGGGGGGGGATGCAGGACTAAAGAGGTAGCTTGTGCGGTATGTATTTCTGTGAGTCTATACGCACACAATCGAAGGGTGCGCGGTCCTTTCTTTGCTTGAGTCGGGAGAAAATCTTTATGAGAGAATCTTTCCCCCCACCCCCGATAGATTATAATTCTTTCGAGTTTTAATATTAATTTTCAAAAGCATATCTTCACAACAAAAACAAAGCTGTTCAGGGTTTGCTCTGAGGGTTTCACACTCCCAGCTTCATGCGGTTTAACTCCTAGTGAACCTTCTTTTATAAGCATTTTAAAAAATAAACAACCGTTTAATCGTTGATGACCTGCGCTACAGCGGCGATTTTGATCTTGTGAGCTGGGTTTTGTCTAGAATCTGTTCCAGGGTCTGGGTTTGCCAAGCGGATATACCAATTAAGTTTATAGATGTCAAGGCTATAAACTGAATCAGTAACTGTTAAGTGCAGAAATTTACAGTCCGCGGTTAACAGTTGATTTCAAACTGTGCGCATAGCAAAAATGCATTCGGGTCTCGCGGTCTTTGTTCCCTCGCCCTAGATAGCTAGTTTTTTCGCGTCCTGCTTGTGCCCGAGGTGAGCAAGTTTTTAAAATGCCTCACCTCCTAATGCTTCTCCCCTTTCCAACGCCTGGGATATCCGCAATAAGGCCATACCCAGTTGTGTCAAGAATGAGACCTGATTGTCTTCTTTCCGTCTCGAGGGTGATTGGAATAGCAGAAGCAGGAGCTAGCTCATCTTCTGTTTTTCGATTTTTTTTCCTTTCGGGGAATCTTCCAGTTTTCCAATCAAAAATAAATTTAAATGTCTCAGATTGTATTTCCGTTGAAATAATAAAATGGGAGAAAATTATGGTCATTATTTGTTTGAACACATGGAGTAGTTTTAGGCCCCAAACATCTGCAGCTGTTACAAAGTATCGCTGTAACAGATACTCTCCTCAATCTTTGTGCCGCAGAGACCACCATCTGCACCAGACTATGCACACAATTCTTATGGGGTTTCCCTGCATCTTGTAATAGGATAAAGACATAAACAGAACAGTCACGTTGGACCAAAAAAGTAATAGTAAGCAGCCTTTGTCATCACAGTCTCCTCATAAGACCCTTCCCCTCTCAGATCTTTAATGCTTTTCTCTTGCCCATTGAGAGCTCTTCCTAAGGCTCAGAAGCTGTCTAAAATAATAATAGTAATATAATAAAAAAATAATAAAATTCTATTTGGAACCCAAATGCTTTGGTGTGTGTGGGAGGGGGGTGGTACTAGAAGGTACTAAGGGAGGGAGATTTGCCAGGTCCTCTAAAAACACAACTAGAGACAGAAGCTTCATTCTCATCACGCTAAATTGTTAAGACTTACATGGATGAAACATTTTCCATTGAAAGCAGACTAGGAAAAGTTAGGCAATCATATTTTATGTGCTATTTGCATTGATTTGCAAATGAATCAACTTAAGGCTATTCTTGGAGGCAGAGATGTGAAGCCAGACTGAGACTTTAAAAGATTTATTTGAATTTTTTGTTTGTATTGAAATTAAATTTACTTCTTTAAATCGGAGTATTTATAAGGAAGACACAATATTCTAGGAGCTGCTCAATACAGCCTTCCTCTCCCACACTGAAATCTGAGATGCCTTCTTCCTTCCCTCCCAGGAAGTAAACTTTATCGTAGTCCCTCATCTCTCCATCATTTTTTTTTTTAAGTTTTAAAGATAGGTTTTGGTTTGCAGCTTCCCAGTAACTTGCAATCTTTTTTTTTTCTATAGAAGCAAATTAGATTATCATAATGACAAGACAATTATTCTGATTCTGTATTACATTTAGTACACAGAGGAGCAGAGAAATTCTCAACTTCTTTGTAGTGAAGCTTTTATGACACTAATTGCCCCCTTCCCCCACCCCAAAGTAAGTCATTAAATGCTTTGGTGTTAGTTTTTCTTGAAGATAAAGCTAATTAATATTACAGTCTATTAATGAGCACACTCTTCCCAGGTTTTACTGCTCAAACATCTAAACCCATTATCACAAGTTAGTATCAGGTATCAGGGAATGATTTAGGTCTTTGGGGACTCTGTAATGTGGAAAGATGAAACCAGAGCGCTCAGTAATTTATCAAGAAACAATTTATCTTCCAAATGTTCATGAAATATATCTTTCTATTTGGAGGAGTTCCTTTTGGGTTTTTAACTTTGGAAAAATGAAACTGTTAGATGGAGACTTTAAAGAAATGTAGAGTCCCCTAATATCCTTACATATGACTCCAATGTGCTTTGATATTTTTTTAATTTTGAACTGTAACTTCTATTTCTTTCCACTCGACTCTTTCAGGTTTGGTTTCAAAACCGAAGAGCTAAATGCAGAAAACAAGAAAATCAGCTACATAAAGGTATATTTCTTAAAATATGTTTTGGGTGCCTCCTTCTACAGGATGCCCTTTCTGATATCTTTCCCAGGTCATAAACTTTCTCCATCCTGAAATTACTTTGAATCCTTTTGTACATATCTTATATTTACTTATTTGTGTATATGATATGTCCCTCAAGTAGAATGTAAACACCATGAGGACAGGAATTGTTTGATGTTGTATTTTATCTCCTAATGTAAATGTTCAGTAACTGTTTGTTGAATTAAATAGAATTCTGTAAGAAGCCTTGTTAAACATAATATCAACTTCAGAAGAACCCTCCAAGATCTCTTGTTCACTTAATTTATGGATTGCAATCTGCACCTTTGGAGGGAACATCCAGATTGATGAAATCACATGTCCATTTGAGTATTTACAGAACATTTGTAAGAGGCCTTGGGGGTGCAGGTGTGGAATCTTACATATCCTTTACAATTATGAGACAACATTAAAGTACTTTGCTAAGACGGTGACTCTCACCACCTCATACGATTGGTGTTCATCTGTATTGTTAACCAGAGATGCATACATATATGCATATATGAACGTGTACATTTAGATATACACATGTATATGTGTACACATACACACATGTGCATTCCATGTATACACACATATACAAACATAACGAATAGTATTTTTTAAGTTTAAAAACCGGATGTTTCCTTTATTGTTGCAGGTGTGCTAATAGGAGCAGCAAGCCAGTTTGAAGCTTGTAGAGTTGCACCATATGTCAACGTAGGTGCACTGAGGATGCCATTTCAGCAGGCAAGTACTTAAACTGTTGTGGATAACCCCCACCCCCTTCTCCCAGAGATTCCCCCAGCTGTTGATGTACACTTGTGGTATTGATGTTAAGATGATATTATAGACCTATACCCTTTAAAAAAGCAATACACTGTCCGGGATCTGCCCAAGTGCCTCTTTTTGTCCTCACTGAGAGCTCCACAGAGGACAGGGAGCAGTAACTATTTCTTTAAAAATGCACTAAAGATTGCACTTGGGGAGTAGAAAGCAAAGCCTTTTGATTAAGAGTTTGTCGGTTCCAATGCAGAAGTTAGTGTAAAGGATTTCAAAGGTATCATTCATGTGTTTGTGTCTATGTTCTCCAGTAGTCTTGTTCGTTTAATTTTAGTCATATTATATGTCTAATCCTAACAAAAAAAAAAAAGGATTCCTAATGCAAACTGAGTTTTCAAAAGCCCTTTTCTGATGAAGGTTCTTGCCACATTCTCTCCTGGCAGAAGGGAAACCAACCCAGTCTTCCCAGGACTTTCCCGATCCCTATCTTTATCAATAATGAAACCTTTAAGACTACATCTAAAAAAGCAGCTGACAACAATGATTTAATCTTGGAAAATCCCTTCCCTCCTCCCCCCTTCTCTTCACTGCTAGCTATTGTACTTTTGAATTTTCTTTCTGGTTATCATCCACCTCTGCTTTGTAGAAATCAGGCACTTCTGTGTTGTCATATGTGAAACTTACCTCAAGGGCTGGGTTCCAATTAGATATTTGGGTGAGGCTACCTTACCAGAGCCAAATGATTTAGTTGCTAGTGTAAAAACGATTAAGATTTGGTCCAGTTTGTTGTTCATCTTGAACCTGGCATTTAGCTTCTAGAGAAGGTGGAAAGAACTTTTTTTTTTCAGTATTGGAGATGTGGGAATGTGGGGGGTAGGTGTGGAATCTTCAAAGAGAAAGCCTAAGAAGCACATTTCATACTCATCCCCATGAGTAGACACAGGTGCAGTTGCAGGCCCAGAAACATTCACTATTTACCAGAAAAAGTTTGTTTTCTTGCCTGTCAGACCTGTAATGCTGTAGTTCAAATCTTTGCTCTATTACTTATAACTGAGTGACCTTAGATAAGTCTTTTCTGTGATTAAGTCTCTGTTGACTGAGGAAACCTCCCTGCCATCACTTCCATTAGTTCTGGCTTTTGTGGAGGCGATGGCCACTAAGGTCCAACTTGGACTAAATGACTTCTGAAGTTTCTTTCCAAGTTGGAGATTCTGAGACATTTACTTCTCTGGGCCTCAGTTTCCTCACTCACACAGTTATTGTTAAAGAAGTGTATTTTAACTCAAGACTTGACTTGTGATGTCACTGGTGTGGGAAATTCCTGAAGCTATGCAGACAGGGAATTTGTCTGTAATTGACAGTCTTAAAAAGTAGCTCCAGGATATTAAGTAATTTGCCCAGGATCATCACACAGTCAAGTATGTGCCAGAGGCAGCACTTGAACCCATATCTTACCCACTCCCAGGCCGGCTTTCTATAGAATACACAAAGCTTCCTTTCTTATCATCGTAGCGATCACATATGATTGCTATAATTATAATTGTTATTTTTATTGTTAGTATGTGTACATCCATGGGGTTGGACAAGATGATGAAAATTTGTTTGGAGTGAGCAAAATATCTTCCCCATACTTCCCCAAGGCAGTTTCATTGGTTTGCAGGATGAAAGATCTTAGTCAGTGCATTGTCACTTTCTCCTATGCCCCAGCACAGGACGGTGCACTGGACAGAATAACCAGACAGAAACAGTAGAAGTGGTTTGGCAGGCACAGGGAGGAAACACATGGACACATAAGTGAAGCTGGGTTATTGAGGCATGAGGTGTGCTACTCAGGTGGGAGACAGCTACGGGAGGATCCAGTGGCACAGACAGGCATCTCCAAAGCTCAAGTGCGGAGAGGGCACAGACGGGCACCGCCCCTCCCCCCCCAACACCACAGTCATTCTCACGATGGCCCAGTGTGACCCAGGCCAGATTGACAGTCAGACAGTCAGAGCACCTCCCACCCCTCCACCAGCTCAGCCACCCTTTGCCAGGCCGGACCGACTAGGGGCGCCGCGCGTAGGCCGGGCGGTGTTAATGCTCTCTTTTTATTTTATTCTCGTTGTCACCCTTAGGATAGTCATTGCAACGTGACGCCCTTGTCCTTTCAGGTTCAGGCTCAGCTGCAGCTGGACAGCGCCGTGGCAGCGCACGCGCACCACCACCTCCACCCGCACCTGGCGGCCCACGCCCCTTACATGATGTTCCCCGCGCCGCCCTTTGGCCTCCCGCTGGCCACTCTGGCCGCGGAGTCGGCCTCCGCTGCTTCCGTGGTGGCGGCCGCCGCGGCGGCCAAGACCACCAGCAAAAACTCCAGCATCGCAGACCTCAGACTGAAAGCCAAAAAGCACGCGGCGGCCCTGGGGCTGTGACTTCGCTGCTGCCACCACTTGGCCCTCCTCATCGTCATCCCAGCATTGATTCTCCGGCCCCAGCCCACCCTTTCTGCCCTCTAATCCCTCCCGGGCTGCTGGTACCATCCATCCCTTTTCTTCTTCCTTCACTTGCCCTCCTTTTCTGAAGGACTCTAGCGCCGAGTCCCAAGGACACCCAGGGCCAAATGGCCCTACGTCGCCCCCACCCCATCGTCTCCCCTGGGGACCAGGCTAGAGAACCCCCGGCAGAGCCGCACGGCCTCCGCTCTCTGGCTTAGAAAGGGGCCAAGACTGATTTCTGCTTTTGTAAAGTTCCCGCTGTAGGACGTGTTCAAGGGAGGAACTGGGGAGGGGGACAAGATGGGGAGAGGGAGAGTTTACCTCTTGGCAATGCAGCACCAGACGACCGACCGATGCTTTGAAGACAAAAACAAAAACCCATTACTAGTCATAGAATCCCACAAAATATTTAAAAACAAGAGAGAAAGAGAGAAAGGGTACTTATTTCTCATCTCCATTCAACAGAAGCTGGACAACAGCAACAGAGTCAAGAAAAAAAAGTATTTGATACAATAAAAAGTTTGGGAATTGACCCGGACGAAACTCGAGGTCTTTGGGGGGAGGTACCAACTTTATAGTTTTTTTCAGTTTTCTTAACGGGCAAAGATGGCGAAGAGGAAGGAAGATGTATACTTATTTAAAGAATTAAGATGAAAAAAGACACGCAGTTGGGAAGTTCACAGGTTTTGAAACTGACCTTTTTCTGCGAAGTTCACTTTAAATGCAAAACATTTGATAAGAGAGGCGGGCCTCCTTTTAAGTTGAATCAGATACTTTTGAGTTTAAAACCCACCACGTCTGGAAGAGCGAGAAGAAAGAAGGAAGAAGACAAACACGGGGAGAAATGATATTAAGATGAAAAATAAGGACATGGACAATGATGATTTCTCTGCGAAATTCTCGTGGCAAAACTGTCCGGACTCCTGAAAGCAGAATGCCGGTTTGCATGTTTCTTGTATTCCATAGATGGTGTCCCCTTCCCACTCTCCCTGTACTCCACCCCCCTCGGTTCACTTGCACTTCATCTTCATGTTTAGTAGGAAAAACAAAAATCAAACGCGGCTGGAAATTGATTTTTCTTCTCCCTTTTTAATGCTGGAGGACAAAAGCAAATGATTTGAAGGGGGAAAATGATAGCCACCCCTCTGTATTAGGTCCACTGTTTGTCTCGAGAGAAAGTAGGAGGGCAGAACAATGTGGGGGAAGAAAAGCGAGAGAGAGCAAAAGAAAAAGTGAATGTGAATATTTTTACTCTCTCTTGTTGACTTCCCTGAGGTACTGAGCGACAAGTGTTTCTTTTTCCCTTCCAATATTCCCTTCCCCTTCCAAATTTACCTTAAACAAAGCCCAACTAGGTCCAGGTACTAGGTACGTGTAAGATATGTTGATACACACGAACAAAGTTTATTTTGGCTATAACGTGTGACTTGATAGTTGACTATCAGCATTTACATTTTATCTCACAAAGGTGTATCTATTCAAGTAATCTTGCCGATTTTTGTTTTGTTTTGTTTTAGTTTCAATCCATAGAGATATTTAAGCTGGAGATACTCCATCTAGGTAATTTGTATCTCAGTTCCCCCATCCAGCCTCTTTGGGGTTTGTTTTTTATTTTTTAAATTACAAGAAAGAAGAAAAGCTCTTCTAAATGAACTCTTGTAAGCGGATGGGCTTTGTAACTATTTGTTCTCCATGAAAACAAAATTATTTATATTTACCATATTTTTTCTAGTGTTAACTTATTTCAAATGAGAAGATGCTGTTATTTCAGGACATGTGTTGTCGGTACAATATGTTTCCTTCCACCTTTTGTTAAGCCTTTTTAATAAGTGCCAAGTTATCCATTGAAGACACTTTGCGATCAATTGAATGAAATCAGTAAAGTTTGCGTTGACGGGTTCTCATCATTTTTGCTCTTGTTTCTATTATAAATCACCTGTGATGTCCTTTCTTTCTGATGAACGTGTGTATATCTGGCTCCTGTGTGGAGCAAGGGCAGAAGCTACATTCTCCCTTTCCTTCTATGGAGTTGAACAACTTGTGTTTGATGAGAGTAAAAGGGTAGCACTGTACCTCTCATTAACAATTAAGGCAGGGATTTCCCACCCTCCCCCCCTTTAATCCAGGAAACATTAGAAATCAGGTTCTCCAGTTTTATAAGGTAGCCAGACTAGTGAAGCTATCGAAGCTAAAATATCTCTGCCCTAAAGGGGTTCCACTTAATGGGCATAAGAGAAGATGCTTCAATTAGGTCCCAGATTCCCCCCCCCCCCCCAGGAAACTTCTTTGGGAAAAAATTCCTTCAGGGTAAACCTGGTCACTGAATTAGGGATGAATTCTAAGACCTGAACCCTCTTTTATATTCCTACATATATTCTTTCCCAGGACCCCAGACACCCCCTTCCTTCATTCCAACTACAGATTTAGAACAGCTGGTTCTATTGCCCCCCTCCCCAACTCTCTATCTCTTTTCTATCTCCGTGTCTTTGTCTCTGTGTCTGCCTCTCTTTTTCTGTAAGAGGGCTGAGTTGGATAGGGTGGGCACTCTAAGAGGCCAAAGCTACTGAATAAGCAGGATCAAAGTAGAGGTGATTGGATTTGTGAATGATGCTGTAGTCTCTGTTGTAGCTAGACTGTTTGAGGAGATAGTCAAAGGTTTAACTAGCAGGAAGAAAATCCTGGCCTACCCACTACCCTTTTAATGTAAGTTGGGGGATTTCTAACCCATACTCTGCAAACTCTGTGGATAAATTTCAGGGAGTCTGTGAACTTGGATGGGGGGAAATTATATCTTTATTTCAACATAATTTTGTTACTTTGTAATCCTAAGCATTTTATGCATTTGAAAGTGTTATTCTGAGAAGTAATCCATATATTTCAACAGACTGCCAAAGGGGTCCATGATAGAAAAAAGGTTAAGAACTCCCAATCTATATGAAAATGATGCATTGGTTTGGACAGCATTTGGATTTTTCTCCTAACAAAGCTAAGTGACAACAAAAGTGTCAGACATTTTGGGGATAAACTCCCTATGTTTCTCATTGACTTTGGAACACTATTTCACGCCTAGGGCTGAGAAGAGGGGTTAGTAAGCAGGTTTTTTGGGGTGTTCATTCTTCTTTCCATTGGAACATTTTTCTATAAAACTCGGAGAGAGGGAGTGTATGTGTTCTGGCTCTGTAAGTTTGACTGTGTGTGATTGGTTCACAACTTGTATCACATGTCCACAGATTCAGTGGAGGATTTTCCTGTCCTCTTCCTCCCCAGCTCCAAAGTAGTAGTCAAAGGCAGACTTCAGGCATTGGAGAGAACCTGTGTATTAAAAAAAAAAAAAAAAGTTCATTCAAGAGGTAAAAACTGTGGTGGTCTTGGGTATTAAAAAAAAAAAAAACGAAAAAGAGGAGGGAAAAAACCTCCTAGAAACCACTAAAACAGTTTAGGATGGAGAGGAGGTGAAAAGAATCCAGGAAAATATAATTGCTTGAAGTGGCATACCCTAATGCTCTTACAGCATTCTCTTATAACTTCCTGAAATCTAGCTGAACCTTGTTTCTGTGGATAAGCACTGCTCTTGGCTCCCCTTTCCTTCGCCCATCAACCCGAGTAGGAGAATCCAGCAAACAGGGCTGAAGCCACTTAAAGCTTAAAGTCCTCACTCTCTTTCTCATCACATACACCTGGGTGCTAGGTTTGCCTCCAGGAGCCATCTTTGCTTGTCCTTCAGTGCCAAAACAACCATATTTGACAGGCAGAGTGCAGGAAGGGGTTAGGAGCCATTCAACTGCTAGTTAATTAATGCTCGACACACAAAAATGTTGGGCATTATGACCTCTCTACAGATAAAGTCTGTAGCTCCCACCGTTACTAACCAGGAAGGGATTGAGCACGGTGTTTTTAAAAACCAAAACCAAAACAAAACAACAATTTCCGAGTCAGATTCTAATTACTACCAGAATGACTTTGGGCAAGTCACTTAACCCTTCTGGGCCTCAGTTTCCTCACCTGTAAAATAAGAGGGTTGGACTGGATGAATTTTGAGGGTCCCTCCAGCTCTAAATTTCTGATCCTATGATCAGGGCGAACCCCGTAATTTTGAAGTCTTGTAAAAGGAATCACGACTGGGGAAATGCTTTGAAGCATCTTAAAATCTGGTTTGGGTTTTCAACTACCGAATTCAGTTTCCAACTTGGGGAAGTCTTCAGCAAGTTTAGTAAAAAGTACAAGTTTAGGAACTAGGGAAGTGTAGGGATCCGACGGTCCACCCCACCGCCCTTCGCGCAGCCCATGCACTCCCAATCTCTTCTAGCACCTGGGTGCAAAGTGAACTCAGTGGCACTAGGAGTTTGAGGTGGGGGGGGGGGGGAGAGACAGGCCTAGAAGGTTTCCAGGTAAAAAAGTGCCGTTGATCTGGGCTCCGGCTCTGACTGACTTGGGGGGTGGATGGTTAATTTTCACTTTGGAGTCCGGGCCCATGTTGGTTCTTTGAGTGTCCACTCAGTCTTCAGTGAGGAGGCTTGGGGGTGGCGAGGACAAAGTCAGGAGAGGAGCTAGAGAGAGACAGGGGCTGCAACCAGCCCCTTCACCGCGCCCCCTCCCCGCACTTGGCCCCTGGAAAGCAGCAAGGCACCGGCGAGAAAACAGAACATTTGACCCAAGTCCGTTGGGCTCAGATTGGGAGATCTGGCAGAGAAGAAAGCGCAGCAAGACCTCCCAGGCTTACTTTCTTTGCCCTTTCCTCCCAAGGTACAAAGCGTTAGGGACCAGACACTGTCTGCCTTTTGGGTTTCCCCTGAGCGGGGTTGCCCCCTCCTCTCTCCAGGGTAGGTTATCTGTCTCCTTCTGGAAGTGTCTGGGGTAGGGAAAAGTCAGGGTCAGGGAAAGACCCTCGGGGAATTGGACTTTTGTAGCTCCTGGGGTTCTCAGTGCCCAAGACTTGA